CGCCCCCTGGTGGTCATTAGAGAGAATGCAGCTTTAACACATGAAGCATCGGCTTCACTCATCAGAACCAGAGGTTGCCGTCCTGGTTGCGATCGGGCTCTTCCTCACCTTCGATGTGCAGACTGATATCCAGACTGACGAACAGCGGAATCACTGACACGGAACAAATGTAGGTCCCTTCGCTCGTCATCTTGGCGAAGGGAAGGCTGTAGGAAGCGTCCCCGCCCGCTAGGCTCCTCTGCCCGACGCCGCTGCCCTCGCTCCGTCCCGCGCGGCCGTTATAACTGAAGAGTCTAGTTCTCTCTCCACGATGCTGCCGGTGCCACTCCACCGTCACGTTGGGTGCTTTGTGGTCGACGGCAAACTGGCAGTGGAGCTTTTGTTGGGAGCCCAGGCCGGCTCTCACTGACGGAGACTGTGTTTTAATGACCATGGCGACTGTGGACACAGAGACACATGAAAACGGGCTCGTATTAATGTGAGATATGGGACTGATGTTAACTTTGGAGGAAAGAAAACAAAGAGTACATCATCACTGATCGTTATTGATCGATAATCAGTACATATATGCGATCTAGAAATCGGCATTTATGCTTTTCTAGTCTCTGATCTCTTATAATGTTGTGTTGTGAACAACAAACCATGTTGAAATCAGCAGGAGAGCTAGTTATGATAGCAGCGTTGCTAACGTACGGAGGTTCCATTTAGTGACACTATGATGCGTTCAAGCACTGTTCAGTGAAAACGAGTATTAGAAATGAGCGAAGGTGAATTATAACGTCATCATGATGTGTTCAAATGTAATCTTGTAAAATGTAATATTTTAAAAAGTAGTACAAGTCACTCAAAAACGAGTCTGTTGGTACTGAGTGGTCCTCGCATGAGGCCCGTTGTTGTTGTGGTTTTACCTGATGTGGTGAGAGTCTCTCTGTCCCCGATGACGGGCCAGCTGCGGTAGTCCTGCTGTCCTGAGGGCGGTTGGTCCGACGGGTGTCTGAGGAAGCCCGTGACCGTGAACTTGTCGTGTTTGAGAATGCAGCTGAACCAGCGGTTGTACTCTTGCCCCCCCTTGAAAGGCCAGTGGACGTAGATCCCCCCGGTGCTGTACCTCCGCAGCTCGCACTCCAACTGCTCCGTTTTTGCATCCTCGACGAACAGCCGCAGGTCCAACTTAGAACCTGGACCAGAACCCGTTAGAATACACAACATCTCTCTCCGTGTGTTACTCCCATGAGACGCAGGACTTACCGGTGATCAGGAAAGTGATGGCGTGTGGATTAACAGGAGTGTCTCCTGCTTGACCAAACTGCAGCATGGCCTCCCTGTGGATGTGCTGAGTCTCAGTGAGACCGTCGTTCATAAACACTTGCTCATCTGTGAACTTACAGGGCAGCCATGACACCTGGTGGACACATTGCACACCTGAGAGAGACACAGAGTCAGTGTAGTGAGATAAAACCGGTGACTGTGGGTAAGTGGAGAGCAGGGCCGTCCCAGGTGTTCGATCCCCGGCTCCGGCTCAGCTAGTTGCATGTCGATGTGTCCGTGAGCAAGACAGTTAACCCCAAAAATTGCTCCCGTAGTTCTGCCTAAATCTGAATTGTAAGTCGCTTTGGATAAAAACCACTGTAAAGTAATACAGTATAGTATTACTGTAGTACTGTAAAGTGTGGAATACTGTAGGCTACTATAGCAGAGTATATTGCAGTATAACAATATAGAATATTTTTACTACATGATTAGAAGCATGAGGGTGCCTCTAGTCTTTTTTTTACATTCTTGGGTACAGTACAGTACAGTATTAGTGTAGTACAGTACAGTACAGTATTAGTACAGTACAGTATTAGTGTAGTACAGTACAGTACAGTATTATTATAGTACAGTATTAGTGTAGTATAGTACAGTACAGTATTAGTATAGTACAGTATTAGTGTAGTATAGTACAGTACAGTATTAGTGTAGTATAGTACAGTACAGTATTAGTATAGTACAGTATTAGTGTAGTATAGTACAGTACAATATTAGTGTAGTATAGTACAGTACAGTATTAGTATAGTACAGTATTAGTGTAGTATAGTACAGTACAATATTAGTGTAGTACAGTACAGTACAGTATTAGTATAGTACAGTATTAGTGTAGTATAGTACACTTTATTCATGTATTTTGCCCTGACACAAACTCTTAAAAACAACACAATCCGTAATAAAACCGAAGGCGACAACTTACCTGCACATAGACACAAGTAACTAAGTATCTTTAAGATCAGACTCATGACTATTAATTGGTAGAAATCCTCTCCTAGCCGCCCGACCACCACAACACCACCGAGCTGTTCACGGGTTGAAAACCTACTTTCACTTTCACTTCACAGGAAGAGAAACTTGCTTGGCCTGCCTCTTGCATCACGTGTTAGGCAGATGAAATATCGCTGACATTTGATCTGCCTTTAAAACGCATACAACATATGATGAAATTTGAATATTTAAAAAATGGTACATTAAGTGTTTGTGTTGTAGGTATTGTTAAGTTAGTCATTCCATGGCTAAATGTTTGTTGTAAAAAACAGTGTATGCCATGTTACACATACAATTATTAAAATCAAAGATAAAACACATCTTTATTGTGAGTCCAGAAACATTCATAGCGCTATTTAATTATCGAGTGAACCTTATTAAACAGGCGTTGTTTTTTTTTTTTTTTTTTTTACACCGGCACACCTGCAGTACCGCATCCATCCTGCGGTGCCGCTGTGACACCTGAGCTCCCTGTTGTTACACCGGCACACCTGCAGTACCGCATCCATCCTGCGGTGCCGCTGTGACGCCTGAGCTGGTCCCTCTTGTTTTCAGCACGTTGACGCGGAAGAGCGGAAGCGCCTTATACGAAATAGTTGACGTGAAAACGTGTGAAAACACATGAATTATGGCGACAACCTTCTTCTGTTTGCGGTGTACTGTTCAGTACCAGTGATTTAGTTGAGTAGATAGACTGTTTGACCATCACACGGTGGAACTGTTAGTGAATGGGAATTAAAAACCGGAAGTGAAATTAGCAAACTAGCTAACGTGCATTTAGCTACATTCAGCAGCCATGACGTTGAAGATGAGCAAAGGTAAATATTGACCTAAAACACGCCAACCTGCCTGCTGTTATGTCTGTTTGTCATTTATTTTAGTTTTTTATTTCTACTATTTTGTGCTAGATTTGTTTACGTGTTTTTTTAATTGACACATTGTTTGTTTTTGCTATTTTCTCGATAATAATAAAAAAACACGCTAATCTTACTTTTATGGGAGATGTGACGCTACGTTTGATTTAAAATGTTTTATTTTAACTGCTCTCTTTATTATGAATGCCGTGCATCTTAAAAAAACGAGTGTAGACTGTTTTTAGAATCTAACTTTATGTGGAATTGTATTAAATTCATTATAGTTTGCAAAACACAGCAGAAAGTATCAGATTTAACAAATAAAATTGTTCTGTTTATTTATTTTTTGACTGAAGAAAATTGTGTAAACCAAAATCAAACAACCACATTTTATGAATTAATGTATTCCTATGCCAAACTGAAAATAACTTTTAATGTTCTGCCAGGCACTCATTTAACAAAGTTAAACCAGAGTTTATGATAGTTATTATGGTAAACTATTAGTAATGATAGAAGTCATTCTTAGTAAGTATTAGATCAATAGTTTAGTCAATCCACAGATAATTGATGGTTAATTATTATGATAATCAATCAATCAAGTCATTCATTAATCAAAATGCATTTACTGATTTTATAATGTTGCTGCTGTTTGCACCGTGGGCTTTACCATAATGGCCATTTTCTCATTTTTTCTTACATTTTAAAGACAAAACGTTTCACATTAGACAATAGTCTGCAGATTGATCCATGATGAAATTCACTTTTATTTGAAGCACTACACGTGACCATGTCTGTCTTCCTCCCTGTAGGAGCTTACAAAGTTCCAGCATTGTCTGAAGTTGTGCATGAACGAACTAAATACTCTTTTCCTTTGACGTCTGCTCTCTTCTACTTCCAGGTTCGTCCGTTCTTCAGGGTGCGTTCCTGCTGGCTGATAAACTGTGTCTCCCCTCATCGCTGTCCTCTCTTCAGAAGGCTGACTGGAGCCGGGTGGGACGTCCGGTCCTGGAGGCCCTCAGAGAAATCTGTGGGCTGGATGAACGCGGTGGTCGTCCCTCTCCGTCGGCTGTCGTCTGGATGAAGAACTTAGTCTGTGCTGTGTGGCTGAAGGCGTTGAGCGGGGAGACCGGAGAGGACGTGGAGGCGGCCTGGAGGGAGAACCCTTTCTTCCCCCTCCAGAACGGCCTCCCCGAGGTCAACCGCGTTGTCCTGCTGGAGATGGTGAAGTCAATGGCAGCCGCTCGGATATTTGCCCGTTTCCTCCTGTCTCTTGCTCAATCTCAGATCTGTACCGAGCTGGAAAGGTTAGTGCAGCACGTGAGGAGCAGCCCCACCAGAGAGGACGACGTTCGGCTCTTTCTGGAGGTCTGGTGGGAGCTGTGGAAAGGCAGAGAGGAGCAGAAAGATGGAACAGAGGACGACACGGAGACGATGTTCGCCAGAGAGTTTGCTCGTCTCTTGTGTAAGTCTTCCAGTCTGTCCCCTCAGGCTGCCAAGAGGTTGAAGCTGGATGCGTCAGATCTACCAGCATCACCGCTGACCGCTGATGTCCTCCACATTCTCCTTCACGCACTCAAAGACCTAAAAGATCACATATCTAGAGCAGACCTCTGCCTGCAGGCCCTCTCCATCTCTCTCGATGCTCTCTACACGGCCTTCCTAATAGACCGAGCAGCTGTGCTTCCCACCAAAGAGAAGATGCTCCTCCTGTCTAAAGTTGTAGGCATCAGAGAGGAGAACGAAGAGAAACTGAGCCCTGAACTTATCCAGGAGGCTCAGAGGGACATACGAGCGTCTCACACGCCATCGCTGTTTCAGCCCAGCAGGATGAAGCTCGCTGAAGCACTGACGATTGTAACAGAACTCGCTCTGTTTTGGCAAAACAGTGGGCTCCTGAATGTGTGTGACGGCTCTAAACCGAGCTACTCGGCATTTAAGCTCAAACAGAGCGTCCAAAGAGTTCTGGCAGCTCTACAGGAAGCGCCTGAAACTACGACTGAAACGGACGATCAAGACCCTGAGAAGAAAGTACTCAGAGGTTTTCTGGAGTCGCTGGCGTTCCCTGCCACAGAGAGCACCGCTGAGGTGAACATGAGGGTCACTGCGACCATCATCAGTCACCGCCTGGAGGACTACCAGAACTTCGCGCTGCTGTTCGCCAGCGAGAAGAGTTGGGCCGCCCACGACGCCCTCTGGACGGACTGCCTGGAGAAGAACCAGGCGGCCTTCCAGCAGCAGGACGCTCTGATCCAGCTGAGCTCCGCCCTCGTGGGCAAACTCCACGGCGAGGACGCCGACGTGAGCCGGTGCAGGAAGCTGATGAAAGTCGTCGCGGACATCTTTTCCGCGCTTTCCTTGAAAGACAAGAACGGAGCGCTGGCGGCCATGTTGAGGCTGTCCTGCAGGGGGTTCTTCGGTTGCTCCGTTCCCTCCGCTGTGACTGAAGGGTTCGAACAGGAGCTGAACATGGCCTTCAACTGCCTCATCCAAGGAGGCGGGGCGACGATGACGACGCAGGGCAATCTGAACACGGCCGTCTCTTTAGTCGCTAGAGTTGCGTTTCAGAACCCGGAAGCCACATTGAGGTCTTGTTGTCATTCGGCGATCTTCAACAAAGGCGCGTTCTCTCTTATGGCTAAAATCCTGCAGCAGCTGCCTGGACTCCGAGGACACGGCGGGAGGAAAGATGAAGCTCGAGGTGACGAAAAGGCAGAGGAGAGCGCAGACGAAGGGGAGGATGGTCCGAGTGGTAGCGCTCTGCTCTGCAGGTGTCTGCAGGAGACGATCGGGACCAAATCGCTGTCGGCCAATGAGAAGGAGCAGCTCCTCGAGTATCTGGGTCTGCTGATGACGCCGGTCGAGGGAGGAGAAGAAGAAGAAAGGAGGCAAAGCTTCCTGACTCCTCAGCAGGTCGTGAACGTCTTCGTCCTGCCGAACATCTCCGCTACGGGTGAGTGTCCTCACAAAGTCGTGCTTTTAAACTAACATTTAAACTACATCTCTCCTTCTTAAACGTCACGTGACTGTTCTTTACTGTTGTAATGTCATTTATTTGCTTTTAATGTTTCAGTTTTTTACCAAGTAAAAGGCCTTTGAGTACCTTTTTGAAGCGCTATACTAAATAAATATTATTATAAAATGTTATTTTAGGAAATCTTTCATTTTTTTAAGTGCACTTATGCAACTGTAAAAGCTGTTTATCGTCGATCATGGTGATGCTGACGTTAGCCTTTTTAATTTTTAATGAATATCAGTAATAAAGAACACATCTTACTATTTAAAAAAAAATAAATGAATTAAAGTTTGTTAACAGCAACCGCATGAGACTTGAGCTCAGACTTTAAAATAATAGCACGATTCATTTTGGACTAAATTAAATAATTTGTAAATAACAAATGCAACTTCAACACATTCTCAGTGATGGCGTTGGTCTTAGAAAAAGAAAAGCAAGTTTAAAAGTAAATGAGTTACGTTTTCCTTGATAAAGTGTTTGTTTACATTTTGTCCGTCTGCTCCAACGTTCTTTGTATTCCTTCAGGTCAAAGCTCTGTTGATGTAGAACTGAGTCTGCGACTTCTCCAGACCGCTCTCTCCGTGGACATCCAGGATCCGGCCTCGTGTCCTCACTGGGTGTTGGACTGCTCTCCCTTTCCTCTCCTCTATGTTCTGGCTCAGCTGCAGAACCAGACTCTCAGGTTTGTGACACTCCTCTCGGCCTTCGATCCAGATCCACATACCGTCTGTTATTTGATCTCAACACGTATCCATCCAAATCTCTACCAGGTGTTGGGAGCAGCCCCCGGAGGGCGGCGTCCCCCGCTGGTCCATGGACACCAAGGAGCTGCTGGTGTCGGTGCTGACGTCACTGGGGGGGGTGGTGGGAGCCGAGGTGGCGGCTGCCCCCAGCCGCTGGTCCAGAGCTCTGTTCTGGCTCTACAACAAAACGGGGCAGCTGGACTGGACCGTTCGCTTCCACCTGAAGCCCGTTTGGGGGGAACACTTCAAGAACGAGGTTCCCTCGTCTCTGCTGACGGTGTGTGATCTACCGGAGCAGGTAGGAACTCATCCGGATCAGTCTATTCAGGTGCAATGAGATCAAAGACGTCACGGTATCATCGTGCATTGATACCGTTTATCTCAAATGAATTGAGATAAAAAAATAGTTTAGTGACCAGTTACAGCCACCAGATATCTTTTAGTTTTTCTGTAAATATCAGTCTGCAATAAATATATGGAGGCGGAGTTAATGATTGTAGTGCAGGACGTCCTGGAGCTTTACCATCTGTCCTACGGGTCATTTTACTTGGTTCACCCTTTCACGTCCCAACAACGTCCCAACATTCGGTTGAAAAGTCAAACTGAAGACAAATGGAGCAGTAAAGTTGACTCATACTAATAGTAGCAGCAGTAGGTGTGACGTTAGTAATGTGCATTATTAGGACATGAATACATACAGATATAGATGGAGGAGGCATTATGTTATCAAATGTCTTGAGAAATTGAAAATATATCTGCTGTAAATGTGAATATAAATCTCCCCTCGGACTCTCCATAGGTTTGGGCTGAGCCTCTAATGTTTACAGCGTCTGGCTCCGCCCCTGCAGCGCGTACCTCACCACTCCTGCTAACACATCTCTGTTCATGTCGCCTCCCTCTCTGTAGGAGTGGTTGGGCTCAGACCTGCCTCAGTATGGACAGGGAACCGGTCTGTTGGCCTGGATGGAGTGCTGCTCCGCATCCGACTCCCTGCGGTCCACCATGCTGTCCCGTCTCTCCCTGGACCAGCGCCGGCCGGACCACGTGGGCATGTTCAGCAAAGGCCTGCTGGTGGCTCTGACCCAGACCCTGCCCTGGTGCTCCGTCTCCCAGTGGACCAGACTGCAGGGAGTCCTGAGGGAGCTGATCGCCTCGGGTCGCCTCCACGTGCCCTTCTCTCTGGAGTACGTGGACTATCTGCCCCTGCTGGATCTGAGGAGCTTCTCGTGCGACCTCCGTCTGTCCGTCCTCCTGCTCCGGGTCCTCCAGCTGCTCTGCGGGTCCAGCTGCTCCCACTGGCTGTCGGCGGACGGCTGGTCGCACGTTGCCCGACTGTACGCCCTCGCGGTGAGGGAGGTGATGAACTCGGTAAGAGCCAAGCTGCCTCTTCCTTCATCTGCAGCGTTGAACGTCTCCGCTTCAACGCCTCCGAAAACACCGACGTCTAGAGACTCCGATCCTTCCTGCACTCCAATCAAAGCTCCGAAAATGTCCAAAGACCTTCAACGAGCAGGAGGCTCTCCTGTGACATCGAAGGAGTCCCACATGGAGGAGGAGGTGGAGGGGTTTCCCTCCCAAGAGGTCCTGTTTGTACTCAGCCAGCTCTTCTGCCATGTTCAGCACATCCAGGTAAGAATCATTAACACCATGCCATGTTTACCTCAGTAAACATGAGTTTATGGTCTCAATCTCTAGTTTCAAGTCTTCTTCAATACAGCATGATGTTCACTTAGTACATTATGGTCCATTTACAGTCAAACAGACCATAAAGCAGGGGATGCTTTAGGGCGGGGCTACACAGTGATTGACAGGTCTCTACCAGAGACGTATACGGCGTCTCTACGTCACTCCTCCTCAGTCCATATATGGTCACTTCCTGTTCACTGGTTGCAAAAAAGCCAAGATGGCGACGGCCAAAACGCTGAACTCGAGGCTTCAAAATGTCAGACCATAAACCAATGTGTGATGTCACCTCTGATATACATCCTGTGCTAATAAGTCTAGACTCTGATTGGCTAAATCTGGATGAAAATGAAATGTGCTCCTCTCAGGTGATGATGCCAGGAGGTCAGAGTGAGCCGCTGTTCCTCTCCAGTCTGGAGATCCTCAGCCACTACGAGGCCGTCATGGCCTCCTTCCCGCGCAGCAGCAGCCCGCTGGAGAGCGACAACACGCGACACTTCTTCTCCACCATCACGGACAACCTGCAGGACCACGACATGAAGGCCGTCCTGCGGCAGAAGATCGCTCAGCTCGTGTCATCGGCAGCTTGAAGAGGGATTTTCATGCACGATCGAGAAGAAAAGATCCGAACGTTTCCAACAATCTTTGCGGAAAGTGTAACCGAGGCTCGAGACACAAGATGATTTATCAAATGCTCCTTTTTTTTTTTTTTTTTTTTTTTTTTTTTGAGCATGTTTGCTGATAAATCAAGGATATGATTGCTGTTAGTCATTCTCTGCACTTAGCCAACTTAACAAGTTACTACAAAGTGATGAATTTGAGTGAATAAAACGCCGATATGTCAAAGCAAATATCTTTTAGTTTTGTCTCGGTAATATTCATTTATGCCCTGAAATTAAACCAGTGAAGAGTTTCTTGAAAAGCATTAATTTAAAGTTTAACTGGATATGAAACTGTTTTAATATAATACTGATGCCTCCACATAAATCTACATAAGGAGACAAAAAGCCTTGTAACTTTAAATTAAAGATGTATCCTACAGGAGCACAGAAACACTAAATACACAATTTAATACAATAGACGAGTAAAAAGAGTTTTATTGGTACAAAAAAAACATTCTCTGCAATTAGTAAAAGCTTTAAAGTTTTGTTACAAAGCAACAGCTGAAAACAAATCGCATAATGATGTAGTGCATTTCTGTATATATATTAGAGCCACAGTGGAGGAATTATCTGAGAATAAAGTTAAACATTTTAAAGAGTTTGAGGATATTTGGTTTATTGTCAAAATTGCAAAAATAAAGTTAAGTTTCTCAGAAAAAAGTTAAATTTCAAGAATGAATAGAATTTAATTTTGATTGAAAAATATTACAAGTTTCTCAGAATAGTTTAACTTTAATCTGAAACTACTTTATTACTAAAATTGTTGCCATTTTTTTCTGATAAAACATTAAAATGATCCTCTAAATAACAGTTCCCCACACATTACTACCTGTTCTCTCACTAGCTGCGGTCGTTTCTTTGGTCTCTTTGTGAACCAGGTCGTTGTATGAATGGGTCAGTGTGTCTTCGGCCTGTCTTTGTCTCCCGTCCCTCTGTTCTGTCTCAGGTACAGTCTGTTGGCCTTCCTCAGCAGCATGATGAACCAGTTCACCTGAGGAGCCAGGATCACCAGGTTACCCAGGTTGCAGTGCAGCGGCAGGTGGAAGGCCACCCTGTGGAGGGGAACCCCGAACTGCCGGCCGTACATCCAGTACATGTAGGGGAAGATCAGGATCCGACACGTGAAGAAGCTCAGGAGGACGAGGACGCCGTTGATTCTGTGCAGATGGGTGTCATCAAGGCCCAGCTGGAGGTCAGCGGTGAGAGGGAAGAGATTTAGTGAAGAATGTGAAACAAGATGGTGGAAGAAGGGAATAATGCAACAATAATACAACAGATTGTTCTAAAACACTTTAAATCTGCATTACACACTCAGAGAGGTGGCTAAGAAACAAAGCGGACAGCAAATACTAACATGCTGCTAACATGCTGCTAACATGATGCTAACATGCTACTAACATGCACGCCTAAATGTAAATAGTGTTTTCATCCAAAACTAATGTGTCATTCACTCTGACCATTGGGAGTAATTAGGGGTTGATAAGAGCTGTGTAACAACCTTCATGGTGGATAATCACACCCTCATTAAAAGGTTGAATTATGTGTCGTCTGTATAGTTTACCTGGATGAGAATCCTTGCTATGGAGACGAAAGGAGTGCTGAACTCTGTGGTGAAAAAGCAGCCGATGAAGAAATCTCCCAGCCCTCTCCTGAAAAACTACAAACCAGAACACGCCGCCCAGTCAGCCTCTATACTGTACGTGTGTTCCTATCAAATCACTCGTATATAAGAGACACTTCACCAGAGTGATGGGCAGGAAGATGAGCACCAGCGCCAGGTGATGGAGGACCATCATCCAGTCCTTCATGAGGAAGGCCTTCAGGGTCTGAAGAGAGTGTCCTGTGACCCTGTGAGTGTGGTAGTGGCTCAGATACATGGCGTAGACGTCGTAGACCATGTAGGGAGCTCCGAACGAGACGAAGGCATTGACCAGCCAGTGACTGTATGGTGAGATAGCGAGCATTACCACTTAAATATCTTTGTTAATATGCACACACTAAGCTTTTCACTGATTGTAAAACTCAAATATTCTAAGTATTTGTTGACGTGACTCTCCTACCTGTCGGTCATCACATCTCTGCAGGATGTTACAACTGTGACTCCAGCTGCAGTCGCCAAACATGCGTGTATGGAAGACACCAGCCTGAAGAGACATGATCAATACTTTCTGTAGTCTGTTATGCACAACAAATAAAACTGGACAATTGTATATAAATTAAACAATACATGCAAATGTATTTGATGTCTTGCTTATCGTCACCAATAGTCTAAATCATAAAATATTAAGTTATCGCAGGGAACTTTCATTACAATGATAACACCGTCACACTGTTGTTTAAATCTTTGCTCTATGGTTTCGTTAGTTTATTTTAATATTAGTCTATTTCATTATATGTGCATTTTATATTTTTGTTTTTATATTTAAGTTTTTACTGTTATTTTTATTGTATATATTGTGTATTTTATATTTTACTGTTATTTTTATTAAATATATATTGTGCATTTTCGTTTTTTATATTTGTTACTGTTTTATTTGCTGCTGTAGCGAAACAATGTCCTCTTGCGGGATTAATAAAGTATCTATTGTGTTGATTTTGGCGGTGCCTAGTGGACTAAAGTGGTAGTGCTTCCTGAGCACCAGAGTGTAGAAAACATCTCATTTTACTGCAGCAGGGTCTGACAGACTGACCCGGGTCAGTCCTGCTTCTCCTGTGCCCCCACCCTTCCCATATTAACAAACAAACGGACGAATACTTTAGTAACATTCCAGCTAGCTAAATATTTACTCTTGGCGTAAACTGTTCGGTATATTGACAGATAAACAAGACATGACGCATTTGTTAAAGGGGTTTGATTAGGTGACCCGCTACCTCTCGCTGACACGCACCACGTCGGCCTCACTCCAGCCTGTGAAAGAGCGTCGTAGGAATACCCTGAAGCCGTAGAAAAGCCCCGGAAACGCCGCAGCTCCGCAGACCACAGCGGTGAACATATTGTCCTCAGCCGACCTCTTCCTCTTCCTGTATTAGCCCGCTAAACCGCCAGTAACGATCCCGTAACGATCCCGTAACGAAGTCACAAAAGACCTGTGGTGGGCTAACGGTCGATTCACGGATTTAGCTCGCGCGAGTTTGAGGATTACTAAACTTCCCAGTCACAACTAACGGCTGAAGAGAACGGCCAAATCCCAATGTCCGCCCTTACGGACTCATGGACTTTGAGGCGCGCTCCCGCGAAGTCCGTGAGGGTTTAGGGATGTGCCAAATCAGAAGTGTTTGAGGCTCTCTGGCAGACATTTTGAGCCCTTTATGAACCCTTTCCGTAAGTCAGCATGGTATGCTGACTTAGCCTAAGGGAATTACCCACAAATCATTGCAATGTGACGTTAAACACGGGGTAACCAGTGGACGCATGGAGACGTAAAAAAAAAGGTAAACAAAGAAGATGGCTCACGTGTGTTCAGCCTGTCATAATACATTTACTCAGAAACATCAAGGGTTAAAGATGGAACAAAAAATAAACATGAAATCAGAAGATATTTATTTATTTATTCATCAAATATTTGATTTTGTCATTGAAGCTGTTTTGACAAAATCGAGTAAATAGATGATATGAAGTTACCTCATCTTGTGAGGAAAGAGCCTGAAGACATTCAAATCAGGGAGTACAAAGTATAAAATAAATACACACAGTTATACATCATATTTTTTTGTCGTTTTCATGGTAACGTGATATGTTGCAGCAAAGTGCTGTCCCATTCCTATTTCCACCATCTCAAGCCCTCACAGTCTCTCACACTCACCCACTTACCAGGTGACGTCAGTAAGTCCTTGAGGGTTCAGGGTTTGAGGGTTTAGGGGGGACATTGGGATTTGGCCAAAGTCGTTGGAGTACAGCGCATGCGCAGTCAAATGTTTGTCAGTTTGTACCTTTATTCGGGCCTATCGATTCATTCAGGAAGTAAATCCTGAAGATTGGGCTGTAATTGGTTGGAAATCAAGTGATTGACATTAAGTAACCTTTGGTTGTTTGCGTACGTGAAGGTAAAATTGAGTTTGGATCAATAACGTTGTGCTGACGTAAAGAAATGTCAATAAGCATCTGTTCAGAAACTCCTAACAATATTGAGATATTTACGTTTTCAGTAAGTTGAAAAAAGTCATAGTATAGTATATCCAAAAAAGTATTAAAAAAATCATAGTATAGTGTGTCGAAAAAAAGTCTTAGTATATTAAAAAAGTCTTAGTGTATTCAAAAAATTATAGAAAAGATAATGAATTATGTCATTCAAAAAAGACATGAAAAAGTATAGTATCTCACGAAATGTTATATCATCCTATAGTATGTTGAAAAAAGTCATAGCATTGTCAAGCTATAATATGTGAGAAGTATAGTTTGTATTAAAAAAGTCATGACAAAAACATTTAATATAAAGTCATAGTACAGTATGACATAAAAAATGTAAAAATTAATTTAAAAGTCATGATGTAGTTCAGGTGTGACAAACTCGTTTTAGTTCTTTGACCAGTTTGATCTGAAGTGGGCCGGACCAGAAACACCATTGCAAGGATATTAATCAATTTCCTGCATTTCTGCATTTTACTACTGTATGTTATTTCTTACACTGCTTTTTAATGTTTCAATGAATGTTCTTAATTGTTTTGAAATCTTTTCTTTTGCCGTGTGCTTTAATGCTTTTAATGGTTTTATGTGAAGCACTTTGAATTGCCTTGTTGTTGAAATGTGCTGTACAAATAAACTTGCCTTGCCTTGTATTATAAATATGAAAATCTCAACACTATTCCCTTTCTCTTAGTGTAAAGATATATAAATACACACTGCAAACGTTTTCAACTAAATAACCTATCTTTACACAAAAACAAAACAAAGCTGCGTTTAATCAAAATGACCCAAACTGAGCCTGAACCCAGAGCCAGACTGTATCACACAGCACAGAATAACAGCATATTAGAACAGCACTGGTTCATTCTGTGCTAATAATGTGTATTAAAGGCTGTGCTGTGTGCTTTAGACAGACAATTCCCAGACAATGTAAGACAATTTGTTAACTTATCTGGATTATTATCTAATCAAACTTGCATTTGCCAATCACACATTAGACTAATTTAGATTATTTTTTATTTTAAACCGGCATTGATTAATTGTTTTGGCCACTTGGGGGCAGTGCAACACTATTATCACATTTAACAAAGTTTAAATTGCAAACTTACAAGCAAAGATACTAGATATTAGATATTGATTACGTGAACGATTATAAACAAAAGGAACGTAAGAGTCACAGATAATAAGTTCAAATGAAAAGAGAAGCCCGATAATGAACAAACTCTTATTTAATAATACATTACATTCAAGGCGAAAGATACATCCTTACCAATACATATTCAGCAATGCAATCATTGTCTCCCTTAATAAATAGAAATTTGAAATTTTGAAGTCAGTGCACAACATTGAGAAAGAACACTTAACAGTCAACGTGTAACATAGTCTGCACACATTCTGCATTTCTGCACAGTATACACCTCCAACTAGTGCTGCTAAAGCCAACATAAAAAATAGATCTCAAAATAAGTTATATATATATATACATATATATATACAT